AAAACATGGGTTAGTAATGATAGTCAATGCATTTACTAACATGAGCACAAATTAACAACATTGATTACTCCTAGACCAGCATTTACTTATACAGTTTTAAAATCCATAGTTGTTGTTAACATTAGACAATGCACTGCAAGCTAACATAAACCTACAATGAATGACTTTATTTTCATTTACTAAAAGCAACTGGAATTAAAAGATCTGTTCAGTCTCCTGTGATCATCTACACCTTAAGAATGTTTTTTTTTTTTTTTTAAAGTTTAAAACTATTAAAACGGTGCATTTTTGTAATAAATACAGTAAAATTGCTGTAATTCACCACCACAGCCGCATAGTATCAGTACAAACATAAAAGAAGACTCTTCAATCCTGGTTTGTCACATTAAATCAGGTTCATTTTGTACATTAACTTAACGGATATCCACACAGCAGTGGATATTAATGTGTATCCTGTCACATATGCCAAACAAAACAGTGCAAAGCTAAACAACATTGTGTGTGACTCATCGTTGCAGAAAGGCTTGAATTAACTCCACAGCAAATACATCAAATAATCATTGGGAAAGTTCTTACTGTAGCAAGGGAGATCTGCTTCACTCCTGTCTGTCACTGTGCTGTTTATCTTTGTGAAGGCTACAGCTCTGACACACTTGTGGGGATGGTGGGCAAGGAGAACCAACTCGTTTACATTAAAGGCACAGGCAACAAAAACAGCTATAATGTCCTAACAGCTTTCCCAGATTTAAAAAGGTATAACAAATAATCTGGGGCCTCATGTATCAACGCTGCGTACGCACAAAAACTTTGCGTACGCCAGGTTTCACGCTCAGAATCGCTCACGTTTGGATTTACTAACAATGAACTGAACGTGGGAATGTGCGCAGGTTCACGGCAGCTTTCTGGCAGGCGTACGCACATTTTTTGTGCGTGTCTGTTTTATTTCCATTGGCGACTCCTAGAGGCAGTTGTGTTAAATTCTTCTCTACAAAGTGTCTGATCCTTGCAATGGCAGCTGTATGAGACGGGTTCATATAGTAGGTATGTAAGATTTCCATACCATACAGTTGACCAGCTAAACATTAAAGCGCAAATTGCAGCAGTCGCAATGTAATCTGAGCAATCTACCGCACACACATTGCTATAAAGACACTATCTGAAGATGAATTTGCATGCGTGAATCAGAAACATTTCCATTCAATAAATAAAATTCAATAAAATATGATGCACAAACTTATTGATGATTTCTACTTGTCTTTCTCTTGATACATAGTGGGCAAAATCTGATATGTAGCGGGGAAAAAAGAATAAAGAATTTATCAGACGCTGGAATCGAGCCGAGTTGACGCTCGAATATGTCTGTACATGATCTCATGCTTCTTATGAGGTGCGCCACTGAGACCGCTTAGGGTACTGCAACATTTTTCAGTTATAAACCACACTATTTCTTTTTTAAATGCACTCAGTGCGATGTTCAGACCCAACTGTGTTAACCGTATCAGCTAAACTCCCACTCTATTTTTTTCTTTTGTTGTTAACTCCGGAGAACAAACTTGCAAATAACACCGCTTTTCTCCGGTCTACCTCCGAAAGCAGCACCTCCATTTCACATTCTGTTCAAAGTTTCTCTTTTTGCTTGATTTTGCCGTTGCTTTTTCGTTGGGTTTTGCCATTAGCATAGTCATTAGCATATTCATACGGGGGAGGAGGCAGGGAGGGGTTTTGTGCTCGTGCATGTTGCGCTCAGTTTCACGTTCATTCAGATGTACAAAAGAATATGCGTGAGATTCGGCGTACGCAGAGTTTCATACATCTGAATTTTTTTCTGCGTACGCACATTTACAGCTTCGTGCGTACGCAATGTTTTAGTAAGATTTCCACGCAAGTCTTCGTACATGAGGCCCCTGGTCTGTATTTTGAGCTGAAACTTTACAGACACATTCTGGGGACACAAAAGACTTATCTTACATTTTGAAAAATGGGTAAAATAGGAGCCCTGCAGAACATATTAGCTTCACACTGTTGATATTCAAGCCTCTACTCGCATCTTTTGTACTGCAGTCCTATTATAGACACAAAAGTGAGTGACATATTGAAGGATTTTGTTGTTAAATACTTTTTTCTTATTGTTGTCATATGTCTTTTGCTGGAGGTTTGACTGTGACTGCCGTTTTCTCCAGGTAAGATTTCATTGTACGTGTAATTGGCCATGATCTCTCTCTCTCTCTCTCTCTCTCTTTGTCCATTATGTAAACCATTCATTTTTAATAGGAGAATCAACATTCAGGCAGAGAAAGCTTTCACCTGAGACCTAAACGTGTGTTTACCGTTTGGAAATCAGGATATATGTCCATTAATAGACTAGACAAGGTTATTGTAAATAGCATTTTAATGAAGGAAATGGATTCCTGGCAGACACTGAACGCAGGTGGAGCAAGTTAATCATTTTGCAGCTTTCAGAGTCATAAAACAAGAAAGAAGGAGAACTAAAACCGCTTTTCTGCCTGTCTAAAGGGGACCTATATTAAAAATCACTTTTATAAGGGGTTTAAACACAGTTGTGTGGTAGCAGCGTGTGAGTATTCCCACTTTCTAATGGTAAACATTAGTTTTAGGGATGCACCGATACCATTGTTCACAAACTAGTACGAGTATTTTGGGCCACCTTCATCAGGCTTGCGTTTCCACTGTCAAAAGGATACCGATGGTGTTGGTTGTTATACTAGGCATGGTGTATGACAAAGTTTCAGTCGACGTCAGACTCACTACTTGCTAAAATGTCTATAGTAAAGCTGTACGGTCGTTCACATATCATATGAGAAGCACTTCTTACAAAACAGATGCTTTTATACGCATAAATATGTGTATAAATGTTCATTACTAACCTTTCTATGAACATGATTTGATTATAAATCAAAAAGAGTCTACTGTAACGTCTGCAATTATATCAAATAAATAAATAAAAGCAGCATATATAAACACATACAGGTCCTTACAGTCTCCGATATGTTACCAATTACAGAAAAACTACACACTGCATACATTTAGAAAGTAATTCCATCATTCCAAGTTCATAATAGTCCAAAAGGTGATGAATATCTCACCTATTGGTTAAACCATGTCATTGCTCCCAGCTTTCGTTTTTGAGCGTTGTTAAATGTACATGACCATAAACATCAGTGGTTTTTTTCTACTCCAGGGGTGTCCAAACTTGGTCCTAGAGGGCCGGTGTCCTGTATAGTTTAGCTCCAACTTGCTTCAACCAAGTGTGCCGCAAGCCTGTGTTTGAGTGAAGGTCTCGGCCGTTCGATCGCCCCCTGGGGGCTGGCTGCAGTACAAGTCATAAAGCCCGCCTCCTCCGTGTTAATGAAGGAGACTTGAGCCCAAATAAAAAAATTATTACACTTGCAATAAAATGTCCCGAAAGATGGTTCTGGTCGATTAGGGCACTGGTTATTGTGCTGAAATAGGTGCAGATCTTCATTTTTGTGAACAGTTTGTTTTTAGCAGTAATTTAATGCTGGGCGTGTCATCGTGATTGACAGTTGTGATTGACAGTTTCTCAAAGCAGCGCGTCTGAGTCTCGGCAGAAGACTGAAGTAGACTGATAAAATGTTATTATTCGATTTCTGTGTTATTTTACCATGACAAAATGAGTTCAGCAGTAAACTACAGTTTCTGACATACATGATCCTGGTGGAACACTGTTTATTCGCTAAGTTCAGGGCTTTTTTCGGGCTTTATTAGTTTGCTGATACACGCCTAACCACCCAGATAGCAAATAGCCAGTTCTGGCTAGATTCTCGCCTGCCGGAGACTTACCCCTCAGAGCTCAGACTGACTACCTCTGCTGGACCTACTCTGGATGCCTGGACTCACTGCCCAATTCCAGCCCGAGTCAATCGAGCCAGATGCGGCGGCCGAGCGAGCCGGCACTGCCGCATGCGAGCCGGAATCAGCCCGCGACGCCGCGAGTAGGTTATGCGCTGCGGCCCGGAGCTGGCGCGATTGAATATATAAAACCCTCATATTTGTTAACGTTATTACATCCATTTGTGTTGTTATGACAGCAAACGCATGCTGAGCAGTTTGGGGGGCGTGGTTCATTTTACATAAAGCGTTTGGTTGGAAGCCCGACTCCGCTCATTTTCGCGGCTCCTCCTCTGGCTCCATCAGACAGTCCTTCTGCGCATGTCAAGGCTCCAATTTCAGCAGTCTTTTGCGACAGTTTGTGCCCGTCAAGCAGGCGTTTTGCCCTCAAGGCGTCGTCCATATTTTTACAGTCATTGGCTTCAACACACCTGCCAGGAAGTTTCTAGTATATATAGTAAGAGCTCAATTAGCTCGTTCAGGTGTGTTTAATTAGGGTTGGAGCTAAACTCTCCAGGACACCTGCCGTCTAGGACTAAGTTTGGACGCCCCTGATCTAAACTATAAACTGTTCTTCCAGTACTTTTGTGTTTTTTGACTGTTTGTAACTTCATAACTAACTCAAAACGCTGAAGACTGAATGTTTTAGAATTAATAAACATATGCAAATCACCATCATTTATAATTTATGTTGCGTGGGTGTTGAGATCCAGATCTTTTAATGATCAATCGTGCAGCTTACACTGAATGCATTGCTACAAGCTAAACAAGTAATGACAGAAAATACCTTTAATAACTTATGAAACTCACCACATCCCAAATAACCTACCGAACACAACTTCTTTTGTCATCATTATATTTTCAGGAAAACCTAAATGCTTTCATACATACATGATTCGATACATAATTGATTTGAATGACGCAGGAGTTGATCTCTCTGCAATCTTTACAAATTTAGGATTAATGTACCAGTAAAAAATTGTATTAATCCGCGGGTCACGTGTGTTCAGAATTAGACCCATGGGTTGTGATCCGTACGGATCAACTTTGATCCATTACACCCCTAATGTTTCTACAGTGTAGGTTAAAGCTTCTCATCTTTAATTTCTTTCCATCTCATTTCCTTGCAGATGATCTGCCTAACGTAAACGGCAATGAATCTGCATCATGCATCCAAAGCTCAGATGTTCCTGCAGAAGAAGAAGAGGAGGAGGAGGTTTTGCACATGTGCAGTGGATCAAAGCTGCTCCTGCTGGACTCCAAACTCCTCAACACTACATCTCTCAAACTCTCTCCATCCTCCTCTCCAGACGTCTTCTCCAGCGCCCCATTCCCTGGCTGTGGGCCAGACAGTAGGGACATCTTCACCAGTGCTCCATTTCCACAAATTCAGCCATCTCATCCGCAGCCTGACGTCTTCCTCCAAGCACCGTTTTACAAGAGGAGCGAATCACATGTAGCGCAGATCTCCAATGGTGATGATCCTGTTCTTCCTCATCCTCCGGTGCACAGTCAGATCCGCTTCCCATACTGCGCCGAGGCTCCGATGCCCCAACAGCCCATTGCAGCCCATCGTGTAGTGTCCAGTGTGGGCCAGCAGGCGGCCATCAGTTCTGTCCCTGTTGGGCCGCTTCACTCCTGGACGGTGGGTGTTCAAGCGGTGATGGACCCCTTCCTGGCGGCCCCGTTTCAACCCCGGGGCCCATTGGGAAAGCCTTAAAATGATTAGTTCACCCAAAATGGTAAATTTCCTCACTTTTTACTCACTCTCAATGGGTTTCACAAAGGTTGCACAATATATGGTTTCAGCATTGATACACTCAAAAAAAATAGTTGGATGAACTCAATTTAATGGAGGTCTATACACCAACACAATAGATTTGTAATAAAAGGAACAAGATAAGCTTTAACTGCAGACTGTCTGCTTTCATTTGAGGGTATATACATCCAAATCAGGTGAACGCTGTTGGAGTTATAACATTTTGCATATGTGCCTCCCACTTGTTAAAGGTCCAAAAGTAATTAAACAGAATAATAACCAGAAATCAAACTTTACTTTTTAATACTTGGTTCCATATCTTTTACAGTCAATTACTGCCTGAAGGCTGGAACACAAAGACTTTAACAGACACTGGGTTTCATTCCTGGTGGTGCTCTGCAAGACCACTACAGCAACTGTTTTCAGCTTCTGCTTGTTCTTGGGGCATCTTCCCTTCAGTTTTGTCTTCAGCAAGTGAAATGCATGCTCAATTGGATTCAGATCAGGTGATTGACTTGGCCATTGCATAACATTACACTTCTTTCCCTTCGAAAACTCTCGTTGCTTTTGCAGTATGCTTTTGAGTCATTCTCCATCTGCACTGTGAAGCGTCGTCCAACGAGTTCTGAAGCATTTGGTGTAATATAAGGAGAAAATGTTGCCTAAAACTCTTCAGAATTCATCTTGCTGCTTTTGTCAGCATCCCATCATCAATAAATAAAAGTTCCATTGACAGCCATACATGCCTATGCCATGTCACTACTGCCACCATGCTTTACCGCTTATGACTAGTTTACACTAGAGGATTTTAAGCCTGATTTGAGCCCGATTTGGAAGTTAACGAGCTCGCCGACAGATCGGGCTGTGATCTGGAAGAAATCTGCGGGTGCACGGCGCTCCGCCGCTCTATGTGTGAACTACTGAACAACGCAACAACGAGGCTCGCTGACACGTCGCCGACACCTCGCAGACGGAAATCCAACATTCAGCATGCTAAATATTCCAGAGCAGTCGGCCGACTCAACCCCACGTGTGGTCAAATGTAGTGACGAGCTGCAGCCAATGAGAGAGCATATCAGCATGAGCTGAATGACTGTGTGTTCAGGAGCTCAGCAGAAACATCTGTGATTGGTCAGAATGGGCATCGGTGCACTGGCTTCATTCTGTGTTAGCACAGACATGAGAGGAGGATATATTAACAGTGGAACTAGAATTCTGTAACTATTAGAATTACCATACTGCTCATTTTGACCATTCTCATATAAAACGCCATACTGTCACATCATATTTACATTCAAAGCTATTATTGAGATATTAAAATTTAGCTTTGAATGTTTGGCATCATATTTAATTACACATTACCCTAAAAATATCATCTTTTTTTGGTAATACAGCCTATAAATATTTAGTTAAGATACTAAAACACTTAAAGGTCTTGGCTTTCATTTTCACTTTCAAACAGGAGCTATTTCACAGCACAGAATCTGCTGTTTTGAAAGATATCTGAAGTAAATTGATGTTTTTGCCATCAGAAAGTTTTGTTTATGTTAGCAGGAAGTTGCCAGGAAAGAAAATACACACATATTTAAAGTCACAGTGAAAAGTATCAGACATGCATGCAGTCATTTTGACCAATATGGTAATTTAAGGCAGAAATGCTCAGTTCTTTACTGTTTTGTAATAAAAAAAATAACAATGTCAGAAAGAAATACACTGATAGTTAGAAAATGGCAGGGTGTTATAAATATGTTAGTTTTATTTCAAAGAGTTATAAAATTACAAAAATTAAAAACTCTCTCTGTATCTATCCACTCAAACCTTGCAGATGAGTGATTAATTCGCTGATAAATTAGCTGATTTGACGATGTTTTTAAATGCTTTCTCTAAAGCTTGAAACGCTGTCAGTGATGTCATCAGCACACAAGCAGCCAATAGTGTTCAGCTTTTTCTGACGACTCCTCCCTCAAAATTTCATTGGCTGTGGTTTGGTAGCTTGAATGAGCTGATGGGGAATGAGATGTTGTCAGATCATGTAGTGTGTGACCCCCCTCTTGTAGATCGTTCACGGAGTGTTGCGTAGTGTGAACACCTCAGAGATTAAAAGACACAAAGTCAAGTCATGTAGTGTGAACGGCACAGCGATCTGCTGATGTTTAAAATCCTGTAGTGTGAACTAGGCTTTAGGATCATGAGCAGTTCCTTTCCTTCTCCATACTCCATACTCACCCCACCTAACGTTATTGCTTTCTCTCTGATGGGTTTGTTTTGTTTTTTAAGCCTAATGATGGTTTGCTTGACTGATAGTGCCAGGTCTTTGGATCTCATCTTGAGAGTTGACAGTAACAGATGGTAAATGCAAGTTGCACACTTGAAATGAACACTGGATCTTTTATCTGCTCATTGGAATTTGAATGATGAGGGATTAACACACACCTGGCCATGGAACGGCTTAGAAGCCAGTTGTCCAATTACTTTTGGACCCTTCACAAGTGGGAGGCACATATGCAAACTATTGTAATTTCTACAGCGTTCACCTGATGTGGATGTAAATACCCTCAATATAAAGCGGACAGTCTGCATGTAAAGCACATCTTGTTCATTTTATTTCAAATCCATTGTGTAGCTGTATAGAGCTAAAAATGTTAGAATTGTGTCTGTTCAAATATTAATGGACCTAACTGTATACAGTTCATTAAGTCTGATCTTAAGTCTGATAACTCATAAGTCTGATTTTAGGACAGTTATTGCTCACTGAGCAAAGCAGCAAAACCACATTTTTGCTAATTGAGCTGCCAACACCCAAAGCATGGGTGCTTCTGGAGGGTGGTAATCTCAAAACTCAAAGCATTACATGAAAATCTTCAAACTAAAGTAAAGATTAAACTCTAACAAAATTAACTTTAAACACCTAAGATTACTTTTATTGTCAACATTTCCTTCTCTTAATTCATTCCCACGCAAAGCATGCTGAGAACTACACATCCCCCTAACAAGGTAGTTGAACCAACACAATTACTTCATGTTGTCCCAACACAAATCGCTTAAGTTAGCTTAATGGTTTACAAATTTAAGTGGACTGAACTTAAAACAAATAAATTGGCCAAAGAAATGACAAAAAATTGTGTTGTTTCAGCTCAATTTAAACAAGTAGTTGGAACCAGCAGCCGTGATAATTTTTTGGAGTGTAGAGCAATGTGCACATCTACAATAGTCGCATCGCAAGGTATGCAATGCTGAGTCTGAATTATAGTTGACCAGGAGCTAAGGATTTTATTTAATTGCTGAATTTATGCAGAATTAATAGGATTTATGCCAAAAATAAATAAAATTGTCTAATTTCTTGTCCAAATACTTACATTTCAAAGTGAAAACAAGATTATTTTACTTACACCACTGGCAGATAATTTTACTTATATTAAGGAAAAACTCTTAATTTTGACTTCTCTCTTTTGATGGTAAAAAAACCCCCAATATTTTTAATTGATTTAATAATTGTTAGATATTTGGACTAGAAACAAGACAAGGCAAAGTAGGAAAAACATTTTTTTGCATTGCAAGCATTTCATTTCCATACCAAAATACTGTTAGACTCCCCAGAAAACCACTATTCAAACCATCTTGTAAAACGCTGTTCATATCACAATATTTATTGCAGAAAAATGAAATATCGCAATATCAGATTTTTCCAATATTGTGCAGCCCTATTTTCAAACATTTCTAAATTTATTTTTTATGTTGGACACTAACAGTGAGTATGTTTACATGGACATCAATAACCCGATTAAGACAATACTCTGATTAAGAGTCTACCATGTAAACATAGTCAAAGTCATAATTGAACTAAACAGAAATTAATTAGGACGTGGAGTATTCTGATTTTAATGGCATTATTGAAATGCAGTACAGACATGTAAACACCGCAATCAAACTATTACTGTTGTGTAGGATTTTGCGAAAGGATAGTCTATATGCACACGGCCATTTGACACTATTCTCTGCTCCTACCGAGTCATTAAATGTCCACAGACACACACATCGCAAAATGCTGAGGGTTTTTTTCCTCATACGACCTGCAGTATCAAATTCCATTAAAACAACACTCTTCCTGCAGTTCATACTCGCATCAACGATCTCGTTTGTCATGGAAGGCATGAATGAAATGTTTCTGAAGGAAAGTGAAAGTATTGAACCACAGTTAAAGTAGACAAATTAAAAATTAAACACCCAAAACTACATGAAACTCTGAAGGAAATGTAAATAGCGTGTGACGCAATGACGTTAATCGAATTATGTGTTACAACATGTAAAACTGGGTGATGAAAAGAACATTCAACAAACAGCAACTCATGTAAACACCTTAATCATATTATTGTCTTATTCGGATTAAGGCAAATAATTCGCTTACTGATGTCCATGTAAACATCCGTGTGTCTTAACTACAACATGATTCCAGCGACAAACAATTTGTCTGCACCAAGTGCGACACGGCAGAAACTTTTAAATATTACAGCCTTCAACAAAACAGACTAGTGCCCTGCTCTCCCAACCAAATAGTAAGGATCGTAATAAAGTAAATATTAAATCGATTTCATTCACATCAACTCATTTATCAGTTTCTTTTCAATTCCTCTGACCAATCAAATGCTCTCTGGTATCAAATGCCCCACCCCTTCTCATTTGCATTTCATTTGATGCGCTTGAGATTAACCACTCTCACTGGCAGAGCAAAATACTATTGCCTTTTTTTTCAGGGGGAGGGGCTAATATATGCTCCGCCCTCTCCATGTTTCAGTTGAGATTACGTCAAACATCGACCTCAGAGCACTTCTTGGACCTTTAAAACTACATAGGCAACTGAGTGACTGATGTTGTTGGTTGCACTGAGTCTGACATTCACTTTGCTATTCACCATTTGCTATTAATTATTTTATTTAAGATCTGCTGCTGCTTTCAGTATGGCAATAAATGTCAAGTAAAATGGTCTTCAAACTCACACTGGTAACATTGAACATTGAATAACGCACATAATCAGTACCTGATGTGATTATTGTCATAGTAGTTTATGCTGTGATTTAGCAGCGAAATAGAAACTGTTTCTAAAATAGCCATGCTGTCACTGATGGTTAGGACAAACACTTCTTTTAACACTGAAAAGAATTTTATAGTGTGTTGCGTGTAGCTAGAACATGTTGTAAAGAAGATATTTTGGAGAAAGCTGAAAACCTGTAACCATTGGCTTTCAAATACTGTGCAAGTAAATGGTTGCAGGTTTCCAGCATTCTTCAAAATATCTTCTTTTGTGTTCAACAGAAGAAAGAAACTCCTAATGCTTTGAAACGTGTGAAGGGTGAGAAAATGATGAGAGAATTTTCGTTTTTGGGTGATCTATCTCTGTTATGAACGCCCTGTTTAGTCGTCCTGTGGTGGAAGCAGGTCTGGTGTAGTCATCATGTATCGGCTACCTCAGTCTTTCTGACGCCTCGTTTGGAGTCTCTGCTGCACTTTAGCTCAGCTTCACTACCATCTTCTACCATGATGTGTAGAGCGCTTTCATCTTTTTGTTATCATATACAGGCTTATAATCTCCGTGTATTCATACTTTTCGTTATTTGATGCTCTTTGTAATGGTTTATACAAGCCTTTTTATATCAGCTGTAGTAAATTATTTCTCGCTTTTTCATCGAGTCCAGTATTAAAGGGACATAAAATGTGAAAATGAAGGACGTTTGTTAAGGTG